AGATATTAAACAGTAGTTGAACATTTTTGTTTCATTAGCGCATTTTTCTCATTCTAGAAAAAGAAGTCGTTGTACAACACTTGAGGATCCCCCACGCAGTGGTGGATCCCCCAACGGTTTTTACTATTTTTCTTGTCTTTCTGTACTCTTAAAAGCTTCACTCACATACACATTATTTCAAAGAGGAAAGCACTGCTTTAGTATAAGTTACTATTCACGTGATTTAACAGGATCCTCCACGTTTGAGACTCAGAGCCTATAATGTTCCTCCACAGATTTTAAATCTCTTTATATACATGTGTTTTTTCCTCCACGTTTTAAGTATAGTTGTGCTGGGGGAGAGGTGGGGGATACAGTATAATAATAAATCCAATAGTTACTGTTGTGGTTATCAATTGAATCTGGGGTTATAACTTGTATATAAATATCCAATACAATTCTCTTTGATTGTAATTATAAATTATTTGGTTGAAAATTTTGTTGAATTTTTCATTTGTTTTACACTTTGTTTGAAAAATTTCTTATCAATTAGAAAATAATTAATTAATTATAACCACAGTAAATCTCTACCCAGATCTTTAATAAGAATACTTCTTCTATTTTATCTGTTTTTCTTTTCTAGAAATTCATTAGTCTTCTATACAGTCTATATGTTATCGTCTTGAAGAATCATACTATCTATTACTATCTATCAGTTCCCAGTGGAATAAATCACCGAGATCTACTGCATACTGTCGTACACAATATAATACGGTTGAAGAAAAAAAAGCAATTAATAAGCAATTTTTTTTCATTGTAAGTTTGTTCTTTGTGTTGCAACAAACAATACAATAAGTTAGAAGAAATCATCTTAAGTCACGTGCAATCAACAAATATTTGCAATTCTTTATTTGCTTAATCTTTGTTATCCATTTATTACGTAAGAAATAGAAATATGAAAAATTCACTTAACTCAGCTAATAATAAGTAACTAATCTGATGGAATATAAAAACTGGAGAGATTCATCAGCTGTGGCTTCTTAATTTATAATTTATATTTATACTTCTTCTCTTTCTTCTCTTTCTTTCTTCTTTCCATTTGTACTTCATTAATTAGATTATACATACACAGCAAACATGCCTTTACCAACTCCTCATGGTGGATTATTACACGACTTGGTTATTCGTGATGCTCCAATTAAACAACAATTATTAACCGCTGCTCAACAATTACCTTCATTAACATTAACTGATAGACAATTATGTGATTTAGAATTAATTCTTAATGGTGGATTTTCACCATTAACCGGTTTCCTTAATCAACAAGATTATGAATCAGTAGTTGAAACCATGAGATTATCTTCAGTTACTAATCCAACTACCGGAAAGGGGTTATTATGGCCCATGCCAATCACCCTTGATGTAAATCAACAAACCGCCAATTCTTACACTTTAGGACAACAAATTGTTTTAAAAGATTTACGTGATGAAACCCCATTGGCTATCCTTACCATTGAATCCATCTATAAACCAAACAAACAAAATGAAGCCAACAAAGTCTTCCGTGGTGATCCCGAACATCCTGCTATTAAATACTTATTCGAATCCGCTGGTGAATACTATATCGGTGGGTCCTTACAAGGTCTCAATTATCCAAAACATTACGATTATATAGAATCAAGAAAAACCCCCACGGAATTACGTCAAGAATTCATTAATTTAAACTGGCACACCGATTCACAAAACATTGTCGCTTTTCAAACTAGAAACCCCATGCATAGAGCCCATCGTGAATTAACCATCCGTGCTGCTAAAGATATCGGCCCTCAAGCACACATCCTTATCCATCCAGTTGTGGGATTAACCAAACCCGGTGATATTGATCATCATACTCGTGTGAAGGTCTATCATCAAATCTTGAAAAAATTCCCACCGGGATTAGCTACCCTTTCATTATTACCTTTGGCTATGAGAATGGGTGGGGATAGAGAAGCATTATGGCACGCCTTAATCAGAACCAATTATGGTGTTGACCATTTCATCGTCGGTAGAGACCATGCTGGTCCTGGTAAGAATTCCCAAGGGGTGGATTTCTACGGACCATATGATGCTCAAGATTTATTAGCCACCTTGGAAGATGAATTAACCATCAAGATTGTCCCATTTAGAATGGTCACTTATTTACCCGAGGAGGATAGATATGCTCCAATTGATACTATTGATTTATCAAAAGTTAAAACGGCAAATATCTCTGGTACAGAATTACGTAATAGATTAAGAACCGGGGAAGAAATCCCAAGTTGGTTTTCATATCCTGAAGTAGTCTCAATTTTGAGAGATACTAATCCACCTAGATCAAAACAGGGGTTCGTGATTTTGATTAATACTGGTAGTTCTAAATTGGGTGATTATTTGTCATTTGCATTACAATCGACATTGAATCAATTCAATGGTGGAAGAAGGATAACTAAATTACTGTCCCAACAAGCTGAGGATTCTTTTATTGTTAATGAATTGGTAAAAGCTGGTTCTGGGTTGATTGTGCCTACTTCGAATCCAAATCCAATTGTTGATGTTGTTGGGAATGGAAATTCGTTGATTGTTAATCAAGAAGGTGGGGATGTGACTAAGGGGCAATTTGAATTGAGTAATGATGATTTGGTGGTGGTTGTGGATGAAATTGTTACATATTTGAAACAACAAGGTTTCTATTAGTTGGGTGCAGGGTGTAGTGTGTTTGTGTTTGTCTTTTTAGTTCTATATAGCCTTTATTTAATAGAGATTATGTTAAAAATATATATTAATATTGTTTATTTATTCATCCATTCAACTTCATAGTAATTACTCTGATAGCTTCTTCTAAGAGCTGTTTACACGCTTGTGGATGGACGAGTTCTGAGGTATGATACAATTTTGTTAAACTTCAAACCACATCAAGTCATTAGATTAGTTTTGAGCAACAAGTAGTTAGATGTATTCGTCGTTTCTATTCACTCTAATAGTTGACATAGGCCCCAGGTCCCAACAGCCACATATTTCGTGTTTCTTATTTGCTGCGAATAAAGAGTTTAATTGCCGAGAATATTAATATTAGACGATGGATCCACTCAAACCACAGCTTTAGATGAATGTTCAACACATTGGATCTCTGGAATAGTTAGCCTCCCCCCCTAAATATATAAACAGCCACAGATTTACTGATTTCTTATTTGCAGCCAATAAAGAATATCGCCAAGAATATCCAGAAGAAGGATCCACGGAGTGGACACACACTTTCTAATGTCTTGACACGATAGAAAGTGTGGCTATTGCTACGTAACGAACTTAAGAGTAATTAAACGAGAGATAAAGGTTCTACACCTACAAGTAAATAAAATAAATTGTTTTTAATTAGTAATACAAAGTTAGTTCTTTCCAAAACCCACAAATAAAAGTTAATAATAATAATAATAAATAAATACAAACAACCTTCTCACTTATGTTCATCAATCAAATGAACTGCTCTCTTCTGCAATGCCTCAGCAAACCCCATAGCCACCGGCCAAACAGGTGCATCTGCCAATATCCTAATCCCCAATTGTATACTCTTCATCGATAATTGTACCTTAATAATATCCTCTCTAATCTTCTTATTCAATTCCAACCCTTTTTCAGTATTCATATCCACATTTATCCCCTGACTTAATTCATCATCACAAGCTTCTCTAGCCACCGACATTTCCATAATCTTCTTCACTTCATATTCATTCATGGGCGAATCCTTAACATGTCGAGTCAATAATTCCGAATATGATGATTTCAATGATGGCAGTAAGACTTTTTCCACCTTGATTAAGATTTCTTGACATTTAAACCAATTCAATAATTCCAAGTTGGAAATATCACGATGTCCACAATTCTTTTCGATATAATCGAGATAGGTGGAGATTATTAATGAACTTATGAATAAACAAACACAGAAAAATACCGGGGTACGAAGGGATGTTTCTCGGACGTCGTAGTTTATGGTTTCGATATTGTAGACCCATAGTTGTAATACATCCCGACAATGACTGATTGAATTGGTGAGGACGTTATAATTGCTTTCTTGATAATGGAGGTTGTCTAATGTTTTGTTCATCATTTCATAATTCTTATTCAAGATCGGCAGGAGAATTGATGTGAGGTGGAGTTCTAATTTGATCCTGACTAAGGAATATAACGGTAATGTTAATTTCAACTCATGTCTAGCGGTTAATAATCCTCGATTATAGGTTGATATTTTTAATGTGCCATGATTTTTATGATATTTGACTTCCCAATTATTAACCCATCGGGCTAATTTTGGTTTATGTTCAATATTCCATTTAAGATAACTGAAAGGTTTGCTCATATTATTAATCTCCGATTCTAATTTTTCATGAACATATAATAACATGGTTAATAAATTATTATGAGATAATTTTATATCTTTGTTGCCTAAATTGGGTGAATCATGAATATATCCGGTTAAAGTATCCATTGAAACTCCATTACTTACATCAATTAACGTCCATCCATTAGCATATGTCTTATTTGCCATCACATACCATGATTGGGAGGTTTCACACCACCATAATTTCTCATTATTACAATAATTACCACTTTTTAATAATTTGGAATTTAAATATATGGGGAGACCAACTAAACTGGACCTGACGGTTTGTAACATATAAAACACATGCAAGGTTCTAATTCTTGATTGTGCCATAATGAAATAATCGAAATTATTTTGAATAATTTGTTGAGTCTTATCAATGTTCTTATTGTTCATATTCTCCGGGATTGTTGGTGGTGGGATAAGCAATTGTTCTAAAGGTTCATTAAAATTAGTTGATTTGATTAATCCAATCATACTCTTGATTTGTCTACTCGTAATATCAATCATATTAGGTTCATTCAAAAACAATGATATAAAAATATGTAACACCAAACATTGATGAGCCATCAATGGCACTTTCTTAAATTGTAAATTATCCAATGTAATCTCTTTTTCAAAGAAATTCTGAATATGATATTTCGATAAATTGAATAAAATCAAAGTATTCGAATCATGATAAGCATACAAAGCACCAATAGCAGCAATACTCAATAACAACGGAATATTCTCAATATTATCAACCATAGGATTTTTCAATGAAGGTAAATGAATGAAAGGGAAATATTTATTAAATCCAAATTCATATAATTGCAAATAATGATTCAAATCAACCAAACTTGGGAACTTATCATCTCCAATACTACTCATTGATATCATCCGATTTCTTAATTCTGCCGTTATGAAATTAGTTTCATTTAAAAAAAATGTCGAACTTAAATTAACAGAATATTCAACATTACTGTTTGACCTATCCATATTTGGTGCAATTGCAGTTTGGGGATGATGATGATGATTTCCTCCCATTAATTGATGCATGAGTTCATGTTGTCTTTTGGTAAACATTGATGAAACAGAACTATTGTTTTCGGGAATTCTATCGTCGACTAAACTAGTTGAACCTAAAAATCCTCTAAAATCTCCTCCACTAGTACCTGGTGTATTGACATTACTATCTTGATGATGAGGATGGTGATGATTATCTCCAATTGGAATCGTTACGTCATGATATGGGGTCGTTACTAAATCTTTCAACCAATCAGTATCGTTGTTGCTTATACTTATAGGCATTCCATGATTCCCATTCACAAATGAAGTCGTAGCCGCAACACTAGCAGCCCTTCCATGGCCATTCGAACTTTTCCCGAGTTTCTTCTTTTTAGATGGTGGTGGTCCTTGGTCTGATTTGATTGATTCCGGTGGTGGAGACATCATTTCATCTTGTTTTTGAGATTGATAATTCACTGATCTTTTCGCATCTTTCCAATCCAATGGTAAACTTGACGTGGTTGAATTTTCATCCAAAAGATTTTGAATCATATTTATATCATTTGGAGGATGGACCGAGAATTCAAATGGTGCAACCTGGGAACCAACCGGCAAACTTTGACTCTGTTGTTGAAGATGTGATGTCGCTATACTCCCACTCCTCTTACTTTCCGCATCCTCTCCATCTCCCTTCTTATCCTCTTCTTCCCCTTTATGCAATTCAAAGAAATTATGCAAATTCTTCACGCTCTTCACCTTCTTCCCCCCATCATCATTCAAATCCAAACTATCCATATTATGCCAATCAAGTCCAAACCCACTCATATCCAACATCTTATGATATTCATCCCCGCCGTCTCCATGGGGATGTAATTGAGGAGTGGCGAATTCTACTTGTAACGGAGCAGAATCGGCAAGATTCACATTATGTTCAGCTATATCCAACGCATCCTTGTTGTTGGTGTATGAACTCCCACTGGCGGCGGAATATGATGCATGTCGATAATTGTTCATGATGTATGATGGAAGATGATAGTTACTATTGTTGTTATTGTTGGAGGTGGATTTTTGGAGCGGGATTTCGTCTATTGATGTTGGTGTTGATTTGTTGGAATGAGGTGAGGTTTTGTTATGCCCGGTAACGATGCTTCCACCACGACGTTTTGGAGAGTCGCCTAATGGAGATGGTTGGCCTGGTTTGGAGATAGTTGATGGTCGTCTGTTTTTGCTGGCTGCGGTAGTGGTGGTGGTTGTGGTGGATGTGGCTGTTATTGGGGTGTTGGTGGTTTTGGGTGGGCCGAAGGAGACACTATTTCTATGAGAACTGCTGTGTAATGTAATACTCAACCTGGGAGAATCTTGACTTGAAGTAGTTGGAACCGGAGATGTTGTAGTTGGTTGGGGCAGAATCGAAACTCCGCCAGGTCCAATACCTCCGCCACCACTACCATTACCACCACCATTACTGATTGGAGAATGTGACATTTCAAATAAATCAGTTCTAAAATGTGGTTTGAAATCATTATTACTTCCACTACCACCACTACCAGGAGAAAACTCAGGTGAATCTTGTTGATGATGTCCTCCACTACTAGACATCAACCCCAAATTGTTAGGTAATGGAGCATTAGCATTAGTATTATTATGTAAGACAATGATATGTTCATTAATATCCAAATCCTTACTACTTCCTCTTCTCATCACATTTGGTAAACTAGCATGTAATTTCTGTTGATGTCTCAACACCAAATCTCTTCTAGCAAAACATCTTCCACAAGCAGCACATTGGAAAGGTTTCTCATTGGTATGGGATCTCTCATGTCGTTTCAAATGTTCCAATCTTGCAAATGCTCTCGTACATAACGTACACACATGAGGTCTAGGTTTGTCGGTTTTGATCTGTTGGGATTTCTTGGGGATTGGTTGGGTTGGTGGTAATGAAGATGATGATGATGGATGATCTGCCCCCAAAATAGTGGAGGTGCTGCCACCCGGGGTGGAGGCTTCGGATATCAGACTCTTCTGGGATATTGAAGTTTGCATGTTCATCATATCTTGTCTGTCTGACTGTTGAAATGTGTATATTTGTGTGGGTTTTGCTGGTTATGTCCTTTCGGAGAAATTGAATAAATAAATAAATAAATAAAAGTCCTGTCTGTCTGTCTGACTCCTTTTTCGGGTTCAAAGAAAAATGTCTGGCGCAAATGGAATGTTTGTCGGAGTTGTAGTTTTTTTCCTCTTTCTCTTCTTGAAACAAAGTTGTTGTGGTTGTTGTTGTTGTTGTTTGTAATGAATACAGTGATTATGGTTTACTTTCTCCCCCACACAAAAGTTGAAAAGTAGATGGTTGAGAAAAAGAAAGACAGTGTCGAAACTTTTTAAAGAGACTTCTTTTTTTTTCTTTTGCTGCCTTTTTTTGTTTTTGAGAGAGACAGAGAAAAAGAAAATGAGATACAGTAAGAAAGACAGATATTTTTTTATTATTTTTTAGTGTGTCGTAGCAAAAAAATAATATTTTTTTTTAAAAATATTTTTAAACCTTTTTTTTTTCGTTATGTATTTTTAAGGTTTTGTAATTTGTCTGACCTTTATATTTTCTAACCAAATCTCATTTGGCAACTTAATGTTGAAAAATGTTTGTAGCATTTGTAAACGAAAGCAAGTTTGTGGTTTTACTCGAGCCTAAACAATGGCTTATGTACATCTAATTATCATGGGGGCTAACTAGAGAATAACACAAAAAGCGTCTGCTCCAATTAGAAGGTCGGAGTTTTACGGTTTTCACAAAAACTTTATTTTAGTGGATGATTATTTTTGTTTCGGAGTTGAATACGGAGTAATATGCAGTACGTACAAAGGGTCGTGTACTTTATGCGCGATTTCCCCCAGATTTCAATTGTTGAGTGCCTTGAAAAAAAAAATTATTTTCCGGTTTCTATGGGAAATTAAATTCCCCCAATAAAAAAATTTGTGTCTGAAAATACTTCTTAATTGTAAATGTGTAAATTATTTTTCTTCAAATTTAAAATTCAATTATTTTTTTATCAACATTTTATTGCTCCAGATTTTTATTACATAAACGGAAATTAAGATTGCGCGTGTCCGTTTAAATATTTATTAGTTCATAGTTAATAGTTGATCATTTAAAACTCAAAAAAGGATTGAACCTTAAACCAAGAATTGATTTATAATGAAAACTATATCAACGTATTCTTATGTTGTTCCATGCATTGAAATGTGATGAGATGACTAAAGTGAGGAGTAAAATGTTTACCCTAAGAAATCCGCTAAGTTACCTAAAATAAAATAAAATCAAAAAAATATATACCGAAGAAACCTCAGCATTACATCACTTGCTAAAAAGGATAAATATACGACTGAAACATTAAACATACTTTTGAGATCGGCAAATCATAAGGCATGTACAGAGTAGCACCATATCCACGTTAATACCCGGAGATGGGGGGGAATATTGAGTCATCATCATACCATTTACCCCTCGAACGATAAATTTTTTTAGTTTAAACTAATCCGGGGAAGAGAACGGCAATGGGATGATTTGAAACAACCGATAAAGGAATTTAACGGATTAATTTTCAAATAGAAAAAACCACTGAAATTAACCAATAACCGATAGACGTAGTAACAAGACAAGACAAGACTCTCATTGTTCCTTAGTTCTCTATGATCTCCCCTCTCTCGTTTTTCTCTTAGCATTCTCAGTTTTTTCCTCGGCATTCAAGGGGTTGTTGATATTCTTGTCAACAGAGATAAGCTTTCGCATAAAAGCAAGAGATTCGAAGCAGAAACAGGACCAAGAGTGAGGGGCAATGAGAGTCATTACTGTTTAGAAGTTTACAACCGTCGTTCGACTTTTTCTGGTGATCTTGTCGTCTCTCCTTTCTGATTGTGTGATTTTTTATTTTTAATTTTCTACTAACAATATTGGTTCCCGTTTAACAATTGATGCATCTCTTAATTAACAGGATTAACCACTTGTTTCTATTGAATTTATTTACAAAATAGGTTAAAAGAATTGAATTGTTGCAAAATCATAATTAAATTTTACCCAACATTTTTTTTTTTGATTTCTGATTTAGACAATAAAATCAGACACAAAACATTTTTTTAACACATTTTTTTAATTTGCATTATTTTTTTATATGCACTAAATATTTTTCAAATTTTTATTCCGACAGGAACTGACAAAAATCCGGGGTAATTTAAATTAATATTTTCAGTTACACAGACGGAAAAATCAACGTTGAGCCTTGAACTAATAAAGCCTGCAGTTGTTTACATTTTTGTGATATTCCCCGGATATATTAACTATACCCCTGGATACATTAAACGTAAAAGAAACACAAAGCATCTTACGTAACATCTTGATTCCGCATTTGAGTCATTGAGGGGTAGTCATTGTAAAAATAATATTAATCGTCAATTATAGGGCTTATCATGCTACTGCAACACACTTGATATCGCATATGATCAAAAATAAGGCTCGCCGTTGTATTATGATTTGAAGGTAACAGGACCAAACGAATGCAGTAATATTGTTTTCACATGAAGCAGTTGGCTGGTGAAATTTTATTATATACTGCATTATGTAACGAACAATCGGCCCTGGCTATCTCGTCCTTTTAAAAGAGGATATCACAATTGGCTAGGTTACATTAAACTGCCATAGTATTTTTTATACTTGATAGTTATTTCGGCGTTATATCCCACTATTCCGTAAAGCTGTATCCAATTAGAGTAGGTGGTGTGTCCGTTGCCCATTGTTGTTGATTTGTTATATAAAATCAACGGATAACTCAATATTGCATAACAGTTAAAGAGATGAAAGTATCCAGTAGGAGGCTTTCTGTCTCCCCCTTTCTGTCTTTGTCTCTGAAGTAGCAAAGACTTGTCTCATGCTGAAACAAAGAGTGATAGACAACGGAATGCTCAAGTCCATGTATCAAAAAATTATAGACCCAGTCATCCTAATAGGCATATGTATCCGTGAATACTAAGACTAACTTAAGGTATTACTTAGTCTACATGGTGAAATTACAAGTCTTTTTTTCCAGCTTGATTCCTAGTCATACTGGTTTAGATCTAACCTTTGTGTAACTTTTTCTTGGGTGTTTTAGCGGCAAGTCATTCCTATCTGGTTAAAATCGACATTCCACGGTACCACGAAGTGTAGCTACCTAAGATAAACAATATGAAGAAATAGAAGAAATGCCATATACCAGAATGTTAAGAAATGTTTTAAAAAGTCTTGAATTATAAATGTTCAATTGAATTATCAACCACCACAGTTTTTTTTTCTCGACAATTTTATTTTTAAAGTTTCGCAACACTCTAAAATTTTCAAAGTAGCCACACTTCACAAGTGGATCCACAGTATGGAAGGAAGGAATTTACACTTTTCCGTTCTTATTATCCAATAATATCACTTCTTCAGAATCTGCTTCTATAAACGATCCATGGAATCATACTAAGCGATGCATGGAAGAGAATTCCGAGAAAAAACTTCCGTGTTTTATTTCTTTTTCGTTTCCACATATGGCTTGCTTTTCCGCCAAGGAATATAATTCCGTTTTTGGCTCTAATTATATACTCCACAATTTTGACTTATCAGATCTTAGTTTTAGGTATGGTAAAGTTAAGGCAAATGAGTGTTATCGCAACTTCTCCATTTTGGATACGTCAATTAGTAAACGTGAGTTGCCGAAATGCACCAGTTCTTAAAAGAGACATAAATCTATTGAAAATTAAATCTGTTCACACACACCAATTGTCTATTTCGTAACCAAAGAAATAAGAATATTACAATATGTGTCATACTATACAAGAACAATTTAATACAATTAGACAAATGTTTCAGCCGTTTGTTCTTGCCTTTTTTATTTTTCAGAAGTAATTCTACAATGAATTTGATTGTTGATATTATTCTCACATGTGAAATCTGATTGGTGAATCTTTTGCAACAAAAGAAAAAAAATGACGACAAATTGCAGCCACAGATTTTGCAATCAAATTTTTAATTTTTATCTGCTTGTTAAAGCAAGATCCACACTAAATCCAGTGACAATAATTCACGTGTCTTGTAACAAACTATTACGAATATGATTTTAATCATAGCTCACCTAACGGTTTATTATTATAGAACAATCTATCCCATCTCACAAACCTTAATAATAATAATGAAAATTTTTTCACTCTGCCGTTCCCCCTTACAGGAATTCTCGAATATATAAACTCGTTCACATTCCCTTATTCTCAAACTCACAAGATCTCATATTCCTTCCAATAACACAAATAAGACATATCCATCTCATACAATTAAATAAAAAATGTCTGAAGCAACATCAACAGTCTTCTTGTTAGGACAAGGAGCAGGATATGGTATCTTAGTAGGAGTAGGTGCATTATTCGCTGGTGGTATGATCTTAACCACAAAAGGGTTAGCCAAATATCTTAGAGAAAACCATCACAATACCGAAACTTTCTCAGTTGCCGATAGAAGTGTTGGGACTTTCCTTTCTGCATCTGCTGTTTATTCAAGTTGGTCATGGGCTACTGAATTATTATGGGTGAGTACTATGGTTTATTCATATGGTATTCAAGCTTCTTATTATTATGGTGCTGGTTTAGCGGTTCAAATTGCGGTGATGTCGATGATTGGTATTCATGCAAAGAAAAAGGTTCCAAATGCTCATACTTCTTTAGAAATTGTTGAATTAAGGTATGGGAAATATAATCATTTATTATATTTATTTTTAGCTTTAGCTAATAATTTATTATCTTGTTCTTCTATGATTTTGGGTGCTTCTGGTGCTATTTCTATCATTGCTGGTAATTTGAATATCGTGGCTTCTACTATGTTGATTCCATTTGGGGTTTTGTTATATACTGTTGTTGGTGGATTAAAAGCTACTTTCTTAACTGATTACGTCCACACTTTAATCTTATTGCTCGTGTTATGTTATCTTAATACTGCTGTCTTGTCATCAGACCAAATCGGTGGAGTAGATGGATTATATGACTTATTAATCAATTTCGACGGAAGATATATCGAAGGTAATTACGCTGGATCAATCATGACTGGTAAATCTCAAGGTGCATTATTTTTCGGGTTGATTTTAACTTGTGGTAATTTTGGTCTTACTGTTTTAGATTCCTCCTTCTGGCAAAAGACTTTTAGTGCCAGTCCAAAAGCCACGGTTCCAGCTTACTTAATCTCAGCATTCTTGATCTTCTCCAATGTCTGGCCATTAGGTTCCATTATTGGTGGTGCTTCTATCGTGTTAGAAAAAGACCCTACATTCCCAACTTATCCACGTGCTTTAACCACCTATGAAATCGAATCCGGGTTCGTGTTGCCATATGTCTTAAAAGCTGTCTTAGGTAATGGAGGTGTTGGTGCTTTGTTATTGGTCATTTATCTTGCTGTTACTTCCACCGTTTCAGCACAAATGATCTCAGTGTCTTCCATTCTTTCTTTCGATATCTATAAGAAATATATCAATCCTCAAGCACAAAACAAATCAATGATTAAAGTTTCTCATTATGGCTGTGTTATTTTTGGTATTGGTGCTGCTGCTTTTAGTGTTATGTTACATTATGTCGGGGTTAATATGACTTGGTATGGATATTTCTACCCATTGATTATCTGTCCCGGTGTTATTCCTTTGATTTTCACCATTACTTGGGATAGACAAACCCAATTGGCCAGTTTCATTTCTCCAATCTTAGGATTGATCGGTGGTATTACTGTTTGGTTGACTGCCGCAAAGCATTATTCTGGCGAGATTACTATTACTTCCACTGGTGGACAATTACCTGCTTTGTTTGGTTCTTTGACGGCTTTATTATTACCTGGTATTGCAAGTGTAATCATCTCATTTATTTATCCAAGTAAATTCGATTGGACCACTTTACAAAAGGCCGATTTATTAATTAAACAAGATGAATCTGCCAGCAATTCCGATGATGAAATTAATTCTGATGAAGTTGCCGAATCTATTGAAAAAACAGAAGAAGTCAAGGTCCATGTCACAGAATCAACCAAGCCACAACAATCAGGAGAACAACAAGATGAAGAATCACTTACTACTAAATCAAACCAACAGTTATCGCCAAAAGAATTAGATTTCTGGATTAAAATCGCCACAGCAGCTTCTGTTTTTATTTTGTTGATAACTTGGGTTCTTTGGCCAATGCCATTATATCGTGATTGGATATTCTCCAAAGCTTATTTCCAAGGTTATGTTACCGTATCGTTGATTTGGTTGTATACTACTTTGATTGTTATTGGTATCTTGCCGTTGATTGCTGGTAGACATTCAATTGCAAAGGTGTTTAGAGGGGTTTATCGTGATTATATAAAGAGAAATTAGAGATTTCTTTTAGACGATTTTGTTTGCTTTTGCTTTCCTTTCTTTCTTCTTGGGTTTTTAGTCTATGTATAAATATTTTTAATAATATATCGTTTAACATGTAATATCAAGTTTATTCTCTCTTGGGTTTCTCTTTGAATTGCACTCTTAATTGGTATCAACTGCTTTACCAAATTTACCACGGAAGATTCAAAGTCCGGTCAGAGAATTTACTTGCATCCGCAACGACTAGAAAAAATCTCACACTGAAGAGTTTAAACGACGATCCCTATATTATCATCTACACATCTTCCCAAGACAAGTACAATAATATGTTCAAAAGATTAATCAGAACAATGTCTACCACAACATCCAAGATAATCCATTCAGAAACCCCGGGCCCAATAGAACAATCCATGCTTACCAAGCTCCAGGCTGAATTCCAACCATCCTATTTGAAAATCGTAAATGATTCAGCAAAACATGCCCACCATGCTGGAATACAAGGTGCTGCCAATACCACAGAGTCTCATTTCAGATTAGAGATCATTAGTGATAAGTTTGTAGGCAAGACTTTACCAGCTAGACACAGATTGGTTTATAGTTTATTAGATGAAGAAATCAAAGTTCATGGAATTCATGCTTTACAAATGAAAACCAAGACAGAAGCAGAAATGAACAAGAAGAAGAATATTGCTAATGAAGAACAGCAATAAACAGAACATAAGGTATTATTTATTAAAACATTTCTTTGTTATATTTGTACTATAAAGTTTAGAGGATACACTATTAATATACAAGGGTTGTCAAATAATCAAAAACAAGCTAAAAGCGACACTTTATAAATAATTGTATTTTAAGCACCATTAACCATAACGGCATGTGGTTCAGGTTCATATTCTTCTTCTTCTTCTACATCATCTTCTTGTAATGTCAAGTTAGTTTCTTGTGCAGATGCATTCTTAGCCACTAATTCAACAATTCTTCTAACAGCAGGTAAATTCAACCAAGCAGGCACATATGCTTCTACTCTTGAGAATGGTCTCAAATCAATGGTTCTGAAAGGATCATTAAATTGTCCATCTGTATTCACTAACTCAAATAATTCTTCTGCATTATTGGATTCTCTGACTTTATTAGCCACGATTTGTAATACATTTGGTGCAATTGGAGTTTCATAATCAGCAACAAGATATTGTGATAATAATTTTTGAACTTGAATTGGTTTTAATGCATAACAGATTTCATAAATTATTCCAANATAATAATTTTTGAACTTGAATTGGTTTTAATGCATAACAGATTTCATAAATTATTCCAATATCTTCAGGAGTATTCTTACGTAATTGTAATAATTTAGCAGCTTGTAATAAATGACTTAAATATGCTGAACCTTCATGAATTTCATGTCCTTTACACCATTCTTCTAATCGAGTAACATTATAATTCAATTGTAAACCACGCTTCCAACTCAAAAAGTTCTTCTTCATTAATAAATCATTGAAACATAATGCATCAATAAATCTTAATAATTCAATAATAACTTCATTCATAACCTTAGGTTCAATAAAATATGATTTCATTGACCAATAAATTGAATTGAAAACACTCAAGATATCATCCATCTTATATTGAGTAGTTGGTGAAAATAATACCTTGGTATAGAATCTTGAATTTTCAGGTGCCATGAAACCAGGTAAGGATTGTGACATAACCACGGCTGAAACTGCCTTCTTTTCCAAATCCTTTTCCATCTTCTTCATCCACATATTGTAAATATTATACGAAAGTGATTCGAAATCTTCCTTAACAACGGCAACTAATTTCAAATATTCCTTGAATTCTTCTTCACTCATTTCATGAGATAAAGTATCATTGGCAATAATGGTTTGTTGAGCATATGAAACAAAAGAATATAATTCATGAGTATTAGATAACCAGAATGCACCATTTGGAATAACTTCATCATCCTTCAATTGATGAACAATTAATTGAATACATGATAATACTTCACCCAAAAATTCTTCACTCTCTTTAGTTAAACCTAATCTCCACATATCAGACAAAATAATGATAATGATTCTAGCAGGGAATAAAACTTCCTTTCTAGTTAAATCTGCAGCAACACCAGCGGCTGGAATTCTCAAACCCTTCAATAATCCTTCCACAATCTCACGATGTAATCTCTTAGAATCTCTCAATAACGAAAATAATTCATCGTTAATGTCATCAATAGTAGCATGATCTTCATTGGAGACAGCAATGAACGAAACTGGTCTATTGTTAGAATCAAGAGAATTTGGAGTATTCCAGGCCAAAGCTGAACTATGACGTTTACTGGCCGTTCTAGTGCGACTTCCATTGGTATATCCTGCAGCAGTGTTGCCTCCGTTTCTTTGTTTGGGTAAGAATTCTCCTGATCCAACTTGTTTTTGTAATTGGGCAAGTTCGGATTTTAATTGTTCAATATGAGATTTCAAATCAACTTCAATGGTATCACGTTTAACGATTTCATCCTTAGCTTGGTGTAACTCTTCAATTGTTCTCTTGACTTCTTCTTTCAATTCAGCTTGTTCCTTGGATAATTCTTCAATCTTCGATTGAGCAGAAGCATAATCATTCTTGATTGATTCTAATTCCTTATTCAAATTAGCAATTTCTTGTTGATGTTCTAGATTTTGAGCGTCAAATTGTTCATTAAATTCAAGTTCACGAATCTTGAGGGTTTCATGAGCTTGTCCTTGTTGTTCCATTAATGCCTTCAAACTACTAATTTCTTCAACCAATTTCTTATTTTCTTGAATCTTGGAGGTCAATTGTTGAGTTAAATCAATAACCTTATTCTCCAACTTGTAAGAAACTTCCTTCAATTTGTTGACAGACTTAGCTTCAATCTTCAATTGTTTCAATTCACGAATAGCATATTGCCTTCTAAAAGCAGATTGTACAACAACAGTAGCACGTCTTGTTTTGTTGTATTCGCTTCTTTGTTGATAACCTCTCCAAGATTTTTGAATAGCAATAGCAGCCGCTTCGGTACGTAAAACAAGGAAATTTCTTCTGGCTTGTAATCCTCTGATTGCCTTTTGTAAAACAACAACTGAAGAAACGGTAGTATGATATTGTTTCCTGGCCAAAAATCCTCTGATTGAAGTTTGGATCAAAGTAGCTGCGATTCTTTCTTGCTCAGCCTTAACTCTCACTCTAGTCATATGAGCACGAACCAAAGATTGTAATCTAATATGAGAATCACGAATTTCAAGATATTTCTTTCTATAATAACGTCCACGCATATGTTTCTGAATCATAACTGCCGATCTATATAATTTATCCGATCTTAATTTTTCAAAATGAGCCAACATACCAGCCTTGAAGAAAATCTTGGAATTACCCAATTGATATTTCGCTTTATCCTCAATATTTGCATCCAAGATTTGATGACAAAGTCCACTAACTGATTCTTGAGTAGTTTCACCACTCATTACTTTAATCCATTCTTGAGAATGTAATAAGATATGATATCTGTCAGCAAATTCCACATATGTCCATCTTGATGGGAAACCAGCACATGATATTCTGATAGTTTCCAAAACACCACAAGCACGTAATTGCGATAACACCATTAATGAATCGAATTCCCATGCTTTCTTTTGTTGATTTGGTTTAATACATCTAATATAATGAACATTGGTCGACGAGATAGTTTTCATTAAGTCAATTAAAGAATTCTTAAACATTGAACCCAAAGTTGGTTTTCTATTCACTGTCTTAGCTCTTGATTTAGTTTCTTGTGCCTTTGATGCTTCTAATGCAGCAGAATTTTTGTCAAGGATTGCCAAGATATCTTGTAACAATGGATTGGTTGTGTTTTTGATAACATCTAAGTGACCTTCACCAACAGTATCTCTATTCTTTTCAATGAAACCTTCGACATCATAAGTAACATCCAAAGCATAATGACTAACAATGAATTTAGTTTGACCAAATCTTGGTTTTTTGAAAACTTTATTGGTTGGTTCTTTATTCAAGTTTTGATACATCTTGTCAATCCAGGACTCATCATTACCAGCAGGTAATCTCGATTCTTCATCTAATAAAGCCAATATACCTAATCTATTTTCAATGACATCAATACAAGGTTGGTTATCCGAGAAATCAATAAAAGACCATTCAATTTCTTCCTTAATATATTCTTCTTGTTCCAATTTAAAGACATGCTGATTAAATTCTTGTTGTAATTTTTCATTGGCATAATTAATACAGAATTGTTCAAAAGAATTCTTTTCAAAATGTTCAAACCCATAAATATCCAAAACACCAATAAAGGAATGAACTCTTTCGGCAACTTCATCTGGACATAAATCGGTATTAACATAATCAACCAACCAATCAAACATGGCTGAATAAATATACTTGGCAAAAGAATCTCTAGCAACAAGAGCTTGAGTATGATTCAAATTACTAGTAATCTTTTCAGTTCTAGTAGTGATTTGCTTTTTAGTACACCATTTGGCGAACGCGACTGGATCAATACCTAACAATTCACATGCTTTAACAACATTTGGTTCATCGCTTGATAAATGGGCATCATTTTTAGTTGGTGCAATATTAATATTACCAATATGTAAAAGACCGGCTAAAATCTTGAAAATTTCAAACTGTTGAGAACCATTTATTCCAATTAATTCCAATGCATCTTTAGTAATCTGGAATTCTTCTGCATCATCAACTCCGTCAATTTCTGGTAAACCACCTTGATTAGTATAAGTATAATGTTTAGCCTCAGTTAAGCCTAACTTATCCTTTTCTTCTTGATTCATACCGGCCAATAATTGATAAAAGATGTGATAATTTCTTTCACTTTCCGGTTGGAAAACCAATCTTGATCTTTCTAAAAGATATGTTCTTATCCTAGCACCAATAATTGAAAGTTCTTTGTCAAACAAGATTTCCAAATATTTACCAAAACGAGAAGAATTATCATTTCTAGTAGTTTTAGCATTACCAAAAGCTTCCATGATTGGATTAGTAGCCAAAATTTGTTTTTCAACATCTGACATTTCTGCTTTATGTTCACTAGTTTGTGGATGATATTCTACATCTTCTTCGACAGTTGCAAAATATCTCATAATAAATTTAGCGGAAACAGTTTTACCAGCACCTGATTCACCACTTACCACAATTGTTTGATTTTCTTGATTGTCTTTCATGCATCTAAAAGCATCTTCTGCAATGGCGAAAAGATGAGGATCTAATTCACCTCTTCTCTTACCTGCATAGGCTTGAACCATATCCTGAGTGTATAGCTGATCAACTTTTTGGAAAGGATTCGTGGCAATTAAAACAATACCTGAATATGTATAAATACTTAATTGAGAATAACGTAATTTAATTGCTTGTAAAACTGCTGGTTCGTTTAAATAAGATAAACTAGTTAAATCTTCAGCAGCCTCCAAAATTGGCGGATTTCGTAATGGAGGTAATTTATCATTTTCTTCTGATATATTATCAGTTTCTATTGTGAATATCTGTGATTCATCATTTTCAGATACAAATTCTATAACATACTTGTCGCCTTGTTGTCTATTAGATTTAACTGTTGCACCTATCCAACCCAATGTTTCATTTGGATACCAACAACGGGTTCCAACATCATATAACGATACCATTCTTCCTAAATCTGTGTGTCTATATTACGTGTTACTTTGATTCAGTAGTTATCAGATCAAATAGCTCTATTATAATATCAATACAATTCTTGCTCTTTTGTTTGGTGGTTCTATTCTTTTACAATTGCCTTATCTGTTATGTCAAGTCGGTTGTAAAAAAAAAAATTATAACAAAAAAAGATTTGGTTGGCGTCTGTTGATTTCGTTTATTTGCAAGTGTCTCTTCTGTAATTATATTTCTACGTCTGTCTGATTGACTGTCTGTCTGAAATACTTGCAGTTGTCTATATTTCTATCCTCTGTTTTGTTAACTAAGGTGGGGGGTTAGGAGAATGTTGTTGTGTGTGTCGGTGTTGTCTGATACGAAAATGAAGAAAAAAAAATCGTTGATTTTATTTTCGTAACAGAAAAGAAATTAAAAAAAAAAAAAAAATTTTTTGGTTGTTGTTGTTGATCTCACTCTCTGTGTGGATTTATTAAAATAAAAAATGTGAGAGACAGAACGGACAGGCCAGACACGCATAATTTGTAACACCAAAAAATATGCTTAATCTGTAAAACAAAAATTGTTATACACACATTTTTGCAAATAACGGTTGCCAATAAGATATTTTTACACATTACTTTTTTATTTTTGCATGTGTAATTTTTACATGTTAACCCTTCAACCACCTCCTTGACTGGTAACCTGTAATTGCCTAGATAGAACCTACTGTCTCAATAATTCTAATTTTAGAAAATTACCAAGGAGGCACTGATGAATCATTTCTTTTAAAAGGTTTTATATTTGGAACTGGCGATTCTTCATTTAAAAGAGTCATGATTATATTTGGAAGACTCCTCTTCGCTACCTATTGTAAATAGCGTAGGTAATAGCAAATTTAACCAAACGCGTCTCAGATTTAACTTTTGCAATGTGATTTCTTTTTTTTGCAGGTTAAAAAATGAGGAATAGACGAATAAAATGATTTTTCCACCAAACCTAAAGGTACATCGCAACAAATCTGGAACGAAAAAGTATCAATCCATAGGGAATTACACATTCAATTTGTATTTAGGGGGTTTCAGTGATTGTTCCGCCTCTTATTGTAAATTGAAAAATCTGAATAAAATAAAATATGTGTTAGTTTGAGCCAATGGTAGGGAAGGGAAGGGAGGGAGGGAGTAGCTCGCGTCAATAAAGAAAAAAATAACTATTGTTGGTATAGCCGTTTTAATTACACAATTGAAACTGAAAATGAACATATTTATTCCAAATATAGAAAAAAAAATAGTTAGTTAATGACCCCCTTAACTTGGTTCATGTGATTTATTCCCTATTGATTGAGTTATTGGTACCTCTCGATCTATTGGTGCTAGAACTGTACTACTACCATGTTGTCAGGTACTCTGCTACGATTAATTAAGTTCTGATTTTTCTCGGTTAATACTTGAGGGTGGCGCAATTCAACACTTGAACACAGTAAAACATTTTTTGCAGCAATTTTACCAAAAATATATTCGAAAATTAAGAAGGGAAAAACATAGCTATTACAAATACAGCACTCAAATGTATTAATATTAAAATTCTTTGTAGAACAACCTTAAAGAAAAACTCTTTTCTAGACCCACTGTCACAACTATGAGGTTTAGCGTGAATGCAGTCAAACCTGTGACACCCACACACATTTATATATATAGAAAGAAAGCGTTGTTAAAAAAAATTTAGGTATTGTTCACATATGTAAAACAGCACTTTACTCAAATAATTTCAAATAATGTTCTAACAATTAGTCTAATTATCTTTTGTTGACAGAAACTAACGAATCAAAAGTTCTTTCTTGTATTGTGATGACTAATTCAGATCTTCCCGTTTTAAAACTTTTGCGGCTTCAATAGGAGGTCTTAGACTTGGTGTTTACGTATATTCCAACTGTCAATTTATTGTCATAC